ATTTTAAAGATGTCTACAATATTTGAAATGTAAAAGATATAAAATGATTCCATAGAAAGTACAATACCTTACAGTGTATACAAGAATAACTAGGTCATTAAATCAGTGTCTGTTGTGTCAAGTAAGTTGCCTGCAATGATATTTAAGGTCCAGCAAGTGTCAGTATGGAGCAAAACAGCAACACTGTGTCTACACAGTGTTGCTGTTTTGCTAGTTTGAGGAATGTGCTGAAACGCTTTATGAAGCCTCATCTACCCATTACTAGTGAGGTGATTACAGCCTTAAGAAACATGCTCCGTTTGCCATTTGTCCCTATATTTACAGCCAACTACATAAAATGCTTTGCTCTGCCAGCTGCAGAGAGCGCAACTGTTAAACAATTCTAAGATAAAATCAAGTATTCACCAGTCCAAACTTGTTAAAGACATTTTCCTGAAACAGACGCATTTGAGCTTTAGACTTCAATTTAAGTTGATTCAACTTTATTGCCAGGGCTGACTTGGAGTTGCTCATCTTGCTCATTAGATTCCGATGAAGAGCCAGGAACAGAGCTACCAATTCTGATTGTTGAAACATGTTCTGAAAAGTCAGTGACTTTACACCTAAGAAAGCTAAATTGCCATTTTTTTTGAATGACTTGAGTTCTGAAAGGTGCTATACAATAAAAATAAATCCAACAGAAGCATGATAAACACTCACCAGCCACTTCATTATTTACAGCAGCCAGACTGCTTTACAACTCAGTAAATTTATATAGATTTAGTTCAAACCTGACAGTGATTTTCCAGAGTAACAGGGTTGCTGGTGGCAGGTTCTCATCTCAAGCTGCTGTGATGCAATCAGACCCAAATCTGATGTTCCCTATATTTTGTCAAGTCCGTTGTTCATTTCAGATCAGGACTCTTTGCAGTAAATTTGGAGTAAAGCTACAGTCACCTGATGTGGTTCAAGTCCAAGTCAGATAATATTGAAAGCCAAGCCATTAAAACACTTTGAGACTAAAAAGTAAGTCTGTGTTTTACTGAGCGCCAGCCAGGTGTTGTTGAATTAAAATTCAAGCCTATCGTTTAACACAATGATGAGAACACTGGTTTCATGTCCACAGTTTATTCAAATTACAGCAACATCGGCTCTTAATGTTGCAATAAATGCTTTCCATCTTCACATAAAGATCCAGTCCAAGTCCCCTTTTCACCTGAGAGAAAGGAAATAGACTGAACGATGTGCAAAATAAAAAGCCAACACAGATTAAAGTGAAAACAGGCTAACAATTCCAAAAAGTTTCTTTACTGCATCATGTTATTTTTCAAACTTCATCACTGCATTTCTCCAGCAGAGGTCACACTAAACAGACCACATTATTGCTAAAAGACAATTATAGGACTTAAGACATCTGACCCTTTAATCAATAACTTAACAGTCATGTATCTTACCGAGCTCTGGATTCATGTATACTGAAGCAGAGTCTCTGCAGCCACTGAATCCAGTTCTGAGACATAAATAAGAGGAAGTTAATGTCAAGAAGCTTTCGTCTAACAGCAGAATGTAACGCTTCCAACTTTCTGTTCAGAAAACCAACAATCACCACTGAACAATCTGACGGTAATTCCAGCTTTTCAGTTTAGGTTTCATCACCACAATTTATGATAAGTACTTGTCATATAGAGGAAAAATGTTACCTGATAAATTCACTGGACAGTGAACCAAGTCAACATTTGACAGACCTGATAATAAAAAAGGGAGACATCAGAATATGCAGCACACTTTGATAAGCATCAATTTCTTTAATTTGAAGAGACTCAGACAGGTGGATTAGAGACAATCGTCAGTTGTCGCATCTGACGGCACTTCCTATTCCAGGTTTTCATCATCGATACAGCCACTCAGGGCTCATAGGACTCTTAGGAAATGCATTTCCAATTAACTCTCCTTCGCACAACAAAGCACACTGAAGTATCACACAATGATGAATAGCATTGGATTCAATTTTAAACAGATTTTATTTCACTGGACAAAATGTGGAAAGCTTTTTAGGATCAGACACAATTATACAAACAAATCCCAGCAAGATTTCAAATGATGTCAATTCCATGTGGTGCACAGTGAGTACTTTAAAAATCAGTCCTTGTTGTACAAAGGTGAGCTTATCTTTAAATACTGTCAGATTTGTTATAAGTGTACTTACGAAGACTGGCTAGGCATGTCTTCAGATGAATCTCAACCAGCTCACTTAGAGACATCTGAAACAAAGTTCAAAATGGTGAGCCACTTGAACTGATCAAGTCAATTCTAGACAAATTTATTCTCACTTTGTGTTCAGAAAACCAATGATCAACACTGAACAATCTGCCGGTAATTCCAGCTGTTATCAGTTTAAATTTCATCACAACAGAAGCAGCCAGTTTTTCTTGCTTATGGGCAGGAATGGAAATTTACCTGTGTGTAACAAATCCACATCTGTCCACTAGTTCAGCTGGGAGTGCACGCACCATGCAGACAAACATCCTTCACGGATGCTCAAGTTCTCTTCCTTTACCCGGAGGAGGAAACCGTGAGCGTGTGAGTTCATTTGTTTTGACATGCATCAGAACTACATGGGTTCAGAACTATTAAGCCAACCTATGATCCTGGTTTGTCATCCTCTTGATCTGGCATCTTCCGAGCAGCCTGAAGAGCAAACAGAAGTTAACTTCTACTCATGTGAACAGACTTATTACCACAGAGCTATTTTGAGACTGAGGCTCAGAACAGTGAGTGAGAAACATCGTCAGTTATCGCATCAGACGGCACTTCCTATTCACAGTTTTCATCACGGTTACAGATGTATCAGACAAAGAGCTGGGTCCACTTTATGGTCACTCACCTTCCAAGGACACAAGGAGACCACAGGATGACTTGAACAGAACAATTTTTGTACTCATACTGTGACCCAAAAGCGCTAGGTCCACCTGAGAGTGAGAGGAAAATAATAATTATTTTTTAAATCCTTCAATGGTGTTCATATTGTTACTCAGCCATTTGACAGCTTTCTGAGAATTCAAAATTCACTATTTTATGTTCTTCACACAAAGATAAAGAGAATGAATGGGTTTGAAATAATTTGCACAACCACTTTTTATCAGTAGCATAAGTGCGTCAGACTTTCAGAAATATGATTTTCCAGACTCATGGCAGACATGAGACATCGAGGAGGCATTCAATGCTTGCGTTAAGATATGCAGAAAGCAAAAAGCACAGGACCAGCAGTCCTCCCCACGTGGCTACAACATCACAACTAAGAACAATGCTAACCTTCAACTTTAACGAACTGAAATCACGACTTAAACACGCTTACAAACTAACCTTTAACGCAGGGCCTTTCATCTAAAACCACGGCAGCCTTCTCACGTATCAATGCACTTCGCAAGTTCAGCGAAACTAGCGACAATGAACCACACCGGACGAGAAGAGACCAAAAGGGCGAACAATGCGCGTTTGCGCGTTTTTATACTGCGGCTGTCGCGGAAATAAAACGTCAGTGCTACTTCGGCTTTCTTCGCATTTTGTCGGAGAAAACCGTCACTCACTTACTCCAACGTCTCGCTAGCTTTGATAATCCTTTTCTTTTCTTTTCTTTTCTTTTTTAAATAACACTTTAACTGTGGTGATAGATAATTTTTTTTAAATGCGTGTATTTTAACCATTTGAACATTTTTGTTTTATTTATAACAACGTGCCGGATTTTTTGTTAGCATTTTAGCATCTAATTACCAGCTAAGAGCTGTATTATAGTGGTCATCACCTACTTTTGTGTGTTATTTATTTGTTTATGTGCTCAAGCTAGTAATTTATGTTTGTCCACTTAACTGTGAATTTTATTTTTTTCTCCCGTTAACAAATGCAGCTATTTCTTAATATAAAATGTGACCTGTGACCGCACATTGTCGCTGTTTGACAGCTAACTCTGTGTCTCGTCGCTCATTTCAGAGTATGTGGGTCTTCTCTCTGAGGCTGTGGGACCGTCATTTTGTTCTGAATTTGTTTCCTCTGCGGACTTTGGATAACACATCTTCTGAGTGCTTCAGGTAAAGATTTTTACAACTTGCATAATCCTTGACCAGCAAACAGGCCCGTAAGGAATGTTAGTTTGGGGTCTGCAGTGCTGCCATGAGAAGTAGTAGTAATGACATTAGTAACTTTGTTCAGGTGACTGTCTACGTTTCTACAACATTTGGTGAAAATCCATTAAGATTTCTTTGTTAAAAAGAAAAACTTTATTTGTTTGTGTATTTCTGCATTACTGTCCATTGACTACTAAAAATAGAATTTAAATTTTAAATTCTGACAAGCTTAGAAGGCATTGTGCTGCGTGGATTCTGTAGTTCTGTGGGTGATTTATGAGAAAGGGATAAATACAAGAAGTGCGTCCTCTTGCAGTGAATGAAACGTGTGCTTGTAGTGGTGATAGCGGCTTCTTGAAGGAGGTGTGTGTTCATGCGTGTGTGTGCATCGATCAGCTGCATCAGCATGTTGCCACCTGTGAAGAAGGACCGGGTTATTACTCAGCTCCCAAAGGTTAGTCAACACACACACACACACACACACACACACACACACACACACACACACACACA